ATTTTTAATATTGTCGTATTATTGTTTTATATTTTTCTTATCATTACATTCATGACAAAAACTCGACGTTCAATATCGATAAGCTGTGCCCCGCCTGACCAACAATCCTGGCTCCGCCCCTGAAGATAAGTACTTTCGACCAGCATAATTAAAAAAAAATAGTGATTCACTATACAACTAAATAATTATATCGCGTTCTTAGAATAATGGGACGACTCTATTTATATAACATTACTCCACTGTCATGTTCTGCCAATCTGGCTTTCCGTAAATGAACAACAAATTTATTGACTAGAATTATTCAAGTCAAAGTCAGAAAAGGGGGAAAATTGAGTTTCCTAGATGTGAGAATACACGTAATTGTCCTTTTGACCCAATTGAAAGTTTTTTTTTTTGGCCTTTGACCAGTTTTATTCATTTAAAAAAAAAGAAAAACTTTTCATTTTCTTTTTTCCCTTCTTACCCTTCAGTCCTAAAGAAAAGAAAATGATTGTTTAAACTTTGGAGAAGACAACGGCTCCAAAGAAAACCGGCAAAGTAGTAGCAGCAATTAAATTGAAGAAGAAATTGAACGGTATTGAAATTTTGGATAACAGTGGAGGTTAGCACCCTTTTCTTGCTAATCACTTTTTATTTCTTTTATTTGTCTAGATATGTTCAGTTTTACTTCTATGACTTTTTCTGAGGATTATTGACGATTTGAGGTTTCATTGAGATCCTTTCTTCACTTATGGCTCTATTATTTAATAAACGAAAATCATAGAAAATCTATAGAACTCAGTCTTCTTTAGTATGTCAAATTCCACTCTACATGCTGTCAAGATTGAGGTAAAAGACTGAAAAGGTTGAATCGAACAGCTTTCGTTCTCAAAATATTACCAATTTTAAGATTTCAATTGTAGTTTCTGTTTGATGTTCTCATTGTTGGGGAAATACTGGTTTTGAAAGTTTTTTTAGTACCTGCCAAACTAGAGGACATTGACTTTTTGTGAAATTTCATGTTCGTCACTATTAGCATGGAATGACATGCTTATTGTTGATTTTTAATAGCTTGCAATGACATGCTTATTTTTTATTTTTGTCCCTCTGTTCAGGAGAGAAATGAAAGGTTGTTCTACAAGCTTATAATTGAAAATGTTGAGGAGTTGCTCCCACTTGTCTACACTTTGGTGAGGCCTGCCAAAAATGTGGGAGTATCTTGAGGCAATCTCAGGACTTTTTATAAGTTTGAAAGAAATGTAAGTTTGATTCTAGTGAATTTTCTAATTTTCCACAATAGTTGCTGGAATGATTACTATTAGTGTTTCTGCAGGGGAAGAATTCTTGAAGTATTGAAAAATTGGCCTGAAAAGAATATTTAAGTTATTGTCGTGATTGACGGTGAGCGGATTTTGGAGCTTGGAGACCTTGGCTGCCAGGTATTTGGACATATTCCACATGTTCTTTTGTATTTCTTCGATGGAATGAGTTTGACTATAGTATAAAGCATTTCATTTAAATGTTTATATGTTTGTGGGGTCCCATTGTTTGCACCTTGCTATTGCTTTCGTGCACCCAGTAATATGCTTTTATTTAATCAATTTGACTCCAATAACCATCTAATGTTAACACAAAAAAATTTCAAAGTACATTTAGAGTGAAGTTACTTCATTACAAATTTCAAAGTACATTTAGAGTGAAAGAAATTAACATTGGATCTTCCTTACATTACAAGCATGGATTTGTTTATTATAATGGCAATTGAATTGTGGTAGTTGACAATAACACAAACTCATTCTCAATTTTCCTCAAGACAAAAATGCAGAAAAGCACAGAAAAGTTAAAAAGAATAGTTTCATTGACAAGTAAACCAACCAAGTATTAAGAG